ACCCTAACATATTATGGCAGGTTTGGAAGCAGGCATCCACTTTCTAAACAACATGCCTCCTGACCCTCTATGAACTTTGATAAATGTCAATAGTTGTAGAGAGGCTTCAAGTTTTTTGTTGATAGGGGCACTCTGAGTCAAATTCGACTTGAAGGCAATCAACAACAGCCTAAAAATAGGTGGTAGAGAAATATGTAGATATTATATATCTCTGTCTCCATCAATATAGATACGTTGTTCTGTACTATGGGTTGGAAGTGACCCATACTAATCCTCTGGCAGATTTTCAGAGGCAGTTAATTGCATGAGAGATTTCCCATTCTCCTTCCTCAGAGCAGCTAGTAGCCTCAAACTGGGTGCCTTTGGGATTGCAGCACAGCTTCTTGCTACTAGGCCAAATATATATATATACCTCTCTAGCATTTTAATCTTTTTTGTTTAGCTATATAAGTAAGAGGATGGGATATAAGATTGGGAAAATTTTTATAGAAAAACCACATACAACAAATTGTTTTATTTTTAAGGTCTTGTTATTCCAATGAGAAGAAAAATAAATTTGGGGGGAAAAGTTACATTGAAAACTATTATTTGCTATGTTGTTGTTATATGCCCTTGAGTTGGTTGCCACTCATAGAGACCCTATGTACAACAGTTCCGAACACTGCTGTATCATGAGCCAACCTCATTGTCTCTGATACACCTACACCATTATCTCTGTCACAGAGTCACTTAATCTCATCTCGGGTTTTCCTTTCCTGTGCTGTCCCTCCACCCTTCCAAGTATGATGTTCCTCTCCAAGGACTTGTCCCTTCTCATAAAATGCCCAAAGGATGTCAGATGAAGCTTCAGAATCCTTGACACGAAGGAGAAACTTTGTTTCACCCTCTCAAGGCTTAATCTGTTTGTTCTCCTATATTCAATATTATCCTCCAGTACCACAATTCAAAGACATCAGTTTTTCTGTCATCCCTAGTCATTGTCGAGCTCTCTGATGTATAGCAAGTAATTGCAAAGACTGTGGACTGGATCAGGTACACCTTAATCTTTAGTCTGACATCGTTACTTTTCAGTTCTCTGTAGAGTTCCCTGACAGCAGATTTTTCCAGTACATTTCATCTTTTGATTTCCTGGCTGCTGGTACCAAGTGTGTTGATTGTGAAGCCAAGCATGCTAAAGCTGCTAACAATCTCAAATCTTCACTGTTTATTATGTTGCCGCCTATTGGCCTAGTGGTGAAAATTTTTGTTTTCATGATGTTGAGCTTCAATCCATAGTGAAGGCTGCAGTCTTTGACCTTATGTAGCAAATGCCTCAGTTCTTCCTTTGTTTCTGCAAGCAAAGTTGTGTCATCTGCTAATGCAGGTTGTTGATGAATCTTCCTCCAATCCTAATGCCACATTCTGCCTCATAGAGTCCATGTTGTTGTTGTTGTTAAGTGCCATCGAGTTGCAGGCGACTCATAGCAACCCTATGAATGAAAAGCCTGGACACCTCTTGTATAACTTTCGTCTTTTATCCAGATCCATAGGGTTTCCAGAGGCAAGCTATTGTCGGAGTGGTGCTACTCCTGCTTCCAACATAGAGTCCATACTCCTGGATAATTTGTTCTGCATATAGACTGAAAAGTTATGGAGTTAGAATGCATCCCTGGCATACACCTTTTCTGATTTTGAACCATGCAGTGTTTCCTTGCTCTGTTCTGATGTCTGCCTTCTGGTCCAAGTATAGGTTTCACATAAGCATAATCAAGTGTTCTGGAATTCTCATTCTTCTCAAAGTTAACCACAAGTTGTTTTGATATACACAGTAAAAGGCCTTTGGCTAGTTATTAAAACACAGACATCCCTCTAATACAGTCTGCTTTCAGCCAAGATCCATCTAATATTACCTATAATGTCCCTAGTACCACGGTCTCATCTAAACCCAGTCTGCACATCTGTCAGGTCTTTGTTGATGTGCTATTCCAGTCTTTTTTGTATAATTTTCAGCAGGATCTTGCTTTTATGTGGTATTAATCATATCCTTTGATAATGTTCACACTGAGTGTGTCTCCTTTTTTTTTTTTTTTCGAATGGGAACAAATATGAATGTCATCCTGTCAGTTGGCCAAATTGTTGTCCTCCGGATATGGTATAGGACATAATTGATCAGTAACATGGTACCAAATTCTTTTCTTGATATTTAACTACAGGTAAACCTCATATATTTGAATTAGTGGCAAAAGATGAGTATGAATAGTAAGGGCCAAGAGTATTAGGCAGTTATTTCAAGGGAGTGAAGATATATCACTTTAAATAAAGTATGGTACATTAAATATTATTTTTTTAACTCTTATTTAATATTTCTTCTCATTCTTCACAGAGTCCACCATAGTTTGTTATGATCTACACAGTCAAATGCCTTTGCATAGTCAATGAAACACAGATAGACATTCCTCTGGTATTCCCTGCTTTCAGCCAAGATCCATCTAACATCAACTACAATATCTCTAGTACCAAGACCCCTTCTAAACCCAGCCTGGACTTCTGGTAGCTCTCTGTTGATGTGCTGTTCCAGTCGTTTTGGATAATCTTCAGTAAAATCTTGCTTGCAGGTGAAATTGGTGAGATTGTTCTGTAGTTTCCACATTCTGTTGGGTCACTTTTCTTTGGGATAGGAACTTGGATGAGGAGGCAGTTGTCAGAACAGAGCAAGGGAACACTGCATGGTTCAAAATTGGGAAGGGCGTACACCAGGGATGCATCCTATCTCCATACCTTTTCAACCTATATACAGAACAGATTATCCAGGAGGCTGGGCTCTATGAGGAGAAATGTGGGGTCAAGATTGGTGGACGATTTATCAACAATCTGCGTTATGCGGATGACACAACCTTGCTTGCTGAAATTGAAGAGGACCTGAAGCGCCTGCTGCAGAGTGTCAAGGACTGCAGCTTACAATATGGATTGAGGCTCAATGTCGGGAAGACAAAGATTCTCACCACTGAACCAATTGGCAGCATCAGGATGGATGGTAAAGAGATTGAGATTGTACACAGCTTTAATTTGCTTGACTCCATAGTCAACAGTCTTGGCACCAGCAGCCAGGAAATTAAAAGGCACATTGCCATGGGAAAGTCTGCTGTTAGGGACCTCTCCAAAGTACTGAAGAGCAATGGTGTCTCTCTGGAGACTAAGGTGCGTCTGATACAGGCCATGGTCTTCGCAATCACTTGTTATGCATCAGAGAGTTGGACAATGACCAGGGAGGATAGGAGGAGAATTGATGCCTTTGTGCTGTGGTGCTGGAGAAGAGTATTGAGAATACCACGGACTGCTAGGAAAACAAACAGCTTTGTCCTGGAAAGGGTTAAACCGGGTGGCTCCTTGGAGGCAAGGATTCTGAGGCTCCATCTAACATACTTTGGACATGTTGTGAGGAGAGACCAGTCCTTAGAGAGGGACATCATGCTTGGGAGGGTGGAGGGTGGAGGGACAGCACAGGAGAGGAAGGCCCTCTATGAGGTGGATTGATTCAGTGACTGGGATAATTGGGATGGGAGCGTCAGAGAGTGCGATTGGCACAGGACAGAGCGGAGTTTAGGGCTGTTGTACATAGGGTCGTATGAGTCGCAGGCGACTCGACGGCACATAACAACAACAACATTTAATATTTCAGAAAGTACAACTCCATTGATTTACAATCCACTCTATTAAAAGGTAGACTAGGGAGCTCAGGTGTCCTAGTGGCAAGAAGCTGAGCTGAAGTCCCAAAGGCACAGGGTTTCAAGCCTCTAGCTGCCATTCAGGAGAAGGATGCACAATCTCCTCTTGTGTGATTAAGTGCCTCTGAAAACCTTCCAGAGAGTCAGCTGTGGACTGGTTCTGACTCCACACAACTACAAAACCCAGGGTAAAATAGTAAAGATATACTTATTAGAAAGTTATATCCTGAAAGAGAAGGACCTCCCCTCTTGAAAGGAAATAAGAAAGAGAGAAGCCTATTACTGGTGAAATGAGGCTCTATTTATGGCCTCACGCGCTAGGCTGGCCTTGCAGGTGAAGTCTGGGTCAACGTGACAGTGCCACAGAGAATTCATAGTTTAGTGGGTGGGTCTCATTCTGTTCCTGGTTCTCTGATGTCATTCATGTGCCCAAAGTGTCCACTTCTTCTGACATTACTCATGCCCCATAGTCCATTTTTCCTTCATATTTTTATTGCTTTGCATACAATCATTCATATACATTTTGTTTCATGCATCAACATTGTGTTTTATTTCATCTTTGGCTTATTGTATTCTGTTCATGTACATTGTTCTTTATACAATCATATTTGTTGTTGTTTTTATGTGCCATCGAGTTGCTTGCGACTCATAGCGACCCTACGTACAACAACCCTAAACTCTGCTCTGCCCTGTGCCAATCTCACTGTTTCTGACACTCCCATCTCAATTATTCCAGTCACTGAATCAATCCACCTCATAGAGGGCCTTCCCCTCCTGGGCAGTCCCTCCACCCTCCCAAAGCATAATGTCCTTCTCCAAGGACCGGTCTCTCCTCACAACATGTCCAAATATATCTTATTTTATATCATTACTATTGGTCTACAACTATTATCACCTCCTCTTTTCCTTTTTTTAAAAAATACTCATTATTGCATATTTCACCCCTTGCCTCTCCCTCCCCTCCCCCCTACAATGCTCTCCTTGTTTAAAAGTGTTCTCATAGTGGATGTATGTCAGTATCTGCCTCCTAACTTGTTTTAAGTATTCTTGATCACCAACATCAGAACCCAGGATGTATGCATTATAGATTTTCAGTAAACATATGGATATGTTGACATGTGTGGGAACAATAAATATATAAAAATATTTTAGTAAAATTTGGCCCTCTAGATTGCATCTGTTTTATGCATTCCTTCTGGAACCTTTTTTCTAAAATTATCAGTTTAACATGACCTCTTCTCCCTGCCTTTATTTTACAAAAATAAAATCAAACTTTAAAAAATTCCTACTTCTTACCTTACATTTTTTCCCCAAAATGGATGGTGGCATCAAATGGAATGGCAGATGAGTTCTAACAATCCGTGGGGAATTCATTTCATTGACTGATTCTACATCTGTAAATTAATTTTAACGTTATTAATGTTTGTTTAAGATATTTCGCCTGAATATATTTTTAGCAGGCGTTGCTGTGTGCTGGATTATGGAGACCATTCCATTTCTATCTAGTATATATGTCAAGCCTGCATGTAATGTCATGAAGGGATATTCTTCTTTGATAGCATTTACTCTTTTCCTCTCTTAGTCTAAACTGATTCTTCTCATAATTTCCTTATTCCTAATATTTTTACTCTTCCTTGCATTCACTTTGCTTTGATTCAAACCTACTGTATATTATAGCAGCTACTTTTGCCTCCAGTGATCATGCTTGCTTGTTCTTCTTTATCATCTTGTTGTTCTTATGTGTCATTAAGTTGAGTACCACTCAGAGTGATCCTGTGAATGATAGATCTGAATCCCGTTCTATCTGTGCCATCCTCACAATCTTTTGAGCCCATTACAGTCACTGTGTCAATCCACCTGATTGAAGGTCTTTAGTTTGAAGTTCCTCCACCTTTCCTAGCATAATGGTTCCCCTCCAAGGAAGAGCCTCTCCTAGCAACATGCCAAAGTACAGAAGCTGAAGCTATATCATCTTTGCCTCCAAGGAGTACTGTGGCTGCTCCTTCTCCAAGACATAGCCATTTACTCTTTTGGCAGCCCATGGGGTATTCACTACTATTCTCCAACACCACAGTGCAAAGACATAGATTCTTCTTCTGTCATCCTTAAATCATTGTCCAACTCTCAGATGCATAACAAGTGATTGAAAAGACCATGGCCTGATTCAAACATACCTTAATCTTCAAACTGACATCACTGCTCTTCAATAATTTGGAGAGGTCCCTGAATACAGACTTTCCCAGAACAATATGTCTTCTGATCTCCTGATTGTTGGTACCAAATGTCTCTATTGTGGAGCCAAGTAAAATGAAGTTATTGACAGTTTCAATTTTTTCTCCATCTATCATGTTGTTGCCTCTAAGTCCAGTGGTGAGAATTTTTGTTTTGTTACCATTTCTGTACAGTCCATATTGGAGTCTGTATTCTTTTATTCTCAGCAGTAAACACTTAAAATTCTTTTCACTTTCAACAAGCAAGATTGTCTCATCTACAAAATGAAGGTTGCTGTTGAGTCTTCCTTCAGTCTACAAGCTCTACAGAAGAAAAATGTGGTAATCAATTCTCTAAAGATTTACAGCTTTGGAAACCTTTTAGGGTAGTTTTACAATCAGGGTTTTTCTTCTATTTGAGCACAGTGAGTTGGAAGCAACTGGTTCCAGAGAGTTTGGTTTGGGTCATAGGAATTAAGAAAAGCCGTTAAGACTTAAAGCACCTGGCTTTCAGGTACCTTAGTCCTTGTGGTATAGTTGGGCTTTCCTTTGTGAGCTATGCTAGTCTTGTTGTGCTGCTAATGGAAAGGTTGGTGGTTTAAATCTATCAGTAGGTTTACAGAAGAAAAATAGGCATTCTTCATTATGGAAAGATTCACAGCCTTAGAAACCGTATGCAAGGTGGTCGTGAAGGAAAATCAACTGACAAGTGAATGGTTTTATGTTTTTTTCCTTTCTATTTTCTTGAGGAGTGATTACCAAAGCAGTAGGGTTTTGACTTGAAAAAGTGGTTACATTTTTATTTATATTTGTTCTGTCCACAGTAAGAAAAAAAAAAAAAGGAGCTCAGTCTTCACCTATCAATTTTTACTTGTAATTTTTATGAAGGATGGTTTACAGGGCAAATTTCTTTACTATATAATTATTTCTATGGTTATTGAGCTTTTGCTTTCTTCATGGATAGTATGCTTGATATCATCCCATAACTCAGACGGTCTTCAGTCGTTAGTGTTAAATGCCTCAAACTTATTCCTAAGATGATCTTGAATTTCACATGGAATTGTTTCAAGATTATATCCTGGATCCTGTGGACTTATTTTAATTTTCATCAGCCACACTTGGAGCGATTAAGGATCTGACCCAAAGGCTGCCCCTGGCCTGGTTTGACTGCCAGTATTGACCTTCTCAAATGAATTCTTCCACAAATGTAGTCAACCAGATTCCTATGCAGCCCCTCACGTGAACTGTATGTGTAAAGCCATTGTTTGAGTCTTTTAAAAATGATATTTGTAATGAATATATATTTGTAAATACAAAAATCATTCTATTTCCAGTCTCATTTCTTACACCAAGCCCATACTTTTTAAGTACTATTCTTTGTACATTTCCTCCCAGTTTTGCATTCCATCCACCAATTATCATTAATGAATCTTGATTGTATGGTTGGTCAATTTTAGACCACATGATTTGGTACAAAATTTCAATTTCTTCCTTTTTGGCTAGAGATGTAAGAGCATATATATAGTTATGTTAATGTGTCGTTTTGGTATGTTTATGGATATTATCCTATCACTCACAGCATTGTATTTCAGGATACAACTTAATATTGACTTTTGGCTATGAATGCAACAGCATTCTTCTTCTGGTTTTCATTACCTTGATAGTATATTATATGATTATACGATTCAAGGTGGTCAACGTTTGACAATCACATCACACTTAGCATTGAGAAGCTAAAACAAAAGGAAAACATGCTGAAGTAAAAAAGAGTTGAACAAAAGATTTCAAATGGCAACTCAGGAGGACAAAGCAATGTGAAAAGAGTTGGAATTGAATTATACAATGGGAAGAATCTGCTCTGTATTTCCCAGGTGGAAAGAATGGAAAAAAATTAAGCCTCATGTCACAATACTGAAAGATGCATTGGGTAGTATTTTGAATGACCTAGATAGCATAAAATGAAGACAGACTGAATACATAGAAGCATTGTACCAGAAAGAACTGACTGACACTGAACAATTTCAGGAAGTACCATATGATCAGGAGCCAATGATAATGAAGGAGGAAGTTGAAGCTGGACTGAAGGCATTGACAAAAAATAAGGCCCCAGGAATATCCATTCCATGGGACACCAATTGCCTTGTTTCATTGAACAGATGTAGCCTTGGACATGCTTACAAGTATAAGCAAGGAAATTTAGAGGACAACTGTCTGTCCAATGGATTAGAAAAAGTCTATGTTTTTTCCCATTCCCAGGAAAGGTGATCCAACTGAATATGGAAACAATCAAACAATATCATTAATATCACATGTAAAATACTGCTGAAGATCATCAAAAATTGGCTAGAAGCTAGGACAGTACATATGCAGGGAAATGCCAGAAGTACAAGCAGGATTTAGAGGAGGCCATGACACCAGGGAAATCATTGCTATTGTCAGATGGATCCTGACTATAAGTAAGGAATATCAAAAGAATGTCTATTTGTGCTTTATTGACTATACAAAGACAGTTGACTGTTTAGATCATAACAAGTTGTAGCTGACATGGAGAAGAATGGGAGTCCCAGAACACTTAATTGTGGTTATACAGAACTTTTGCCTGGACCAGAAGGCTGTTGTGCAAACAGAGCAGGGGAATGCTGCATGATTTAACATTGAGTAGGGAGTGCATCAAGGTTGTATTCTCTCTCTGTAACTATTCAATCTGTATACTGAGCAAATTATCTGAGAAGATAGACTTTATGAAGAGGAGTATGGCTTTGAGATTGGAGGGAGATTCATCAACAACCTGTGTCATGCAGATAACGCAACTTTGTTTGCTGAAGGTCAGGAGGACTTGAAGCACTTGTTGCCGAAGGTCATGGAATGCAGCCTTTGGTGTGGATTGCATCCCAATGTTAAGAAAACAAATTTCTTACCACTGGACTAAAAGACAATATTGGATGGAGAAGAGATTGAAACTGTCAACATCTTCATCTTGTGTAGACCCACAATTAGCACCCTTGGTACCAATATTATTGAAATAAGAAGTTATAATGCACTAGGAAAATCTGCAGTTAGGGACTTCTGCAAAGTATTGAGGATTAATGATGTCAGTTTGAAGACAGGTGCATCTGATTCAGGCCATAGTCTTTGTGACCACTTGTCATGCATCTGAAATCTGGACAATGAGTAAGGATGACAAAATTAATTGACACCTTTGAACTGTGGTGTTGAAGTAGAGCACTGAACATCCTATGGATAGCCAGTTGAGCAAGATATGTCTTGGAGGTTGCGGGTGGAGTGAGTGCTCTTTGGAGGCAATAATAATGAGGCTTCACTTCACGTACTTTGGGCATGTTCTAGGAGGTGGCTATTCCTTGGAGAAAGACATGTTGCTTGTAGGGGTGGTGGGAAGGTGAAGGAGAAGAAGACCCTCTAATCAGGTGTATGTGCATGGTGACTGTGTCAGTGGTCTCTTTTGTGTAAGAGAGTGTGTGGATAGTGCCACATAGAACAGGGTTCAGATATTTTTGTTCATAGGATCACTATAAGTCATACTCAACTCAACAGCACCTAACATCAACAGCACCTAACAGCAACAACATGAGGTAACAATGTTTACAACCCTCTAAATATAGTTTCATTCTTTTCAGTTTCTTCTTGTGGTTAATATTTCCAATTTCCCACCTATTCTTTCTTATCTTCTGAACTTTATCCTTGGCCAAACTTGATCTGCTCTTTTCCTTTCATAGAGCTGATTGCTATGTGGAATGTGTGCATCCCTGGGCTAATTTCTCTCTTTATTAGCTATCAGTTAGTTGAAAGCTGAGCCGAAAGAGCAGGCTCAGCTCCATCCTGGATGGATGTCTAAGGGTCGTCTTCTTATAAGATCTGTAATCTCTAAAAGACCTCTTGTCTTTTGAAATGTGATTTTGTATGTATTATACATTTTCCTCTCACTCTGTTCATGTCCTTCTATTGTAATCATTTCAGAATAGTAAGTCCCATGTAGTTCGTCTTTTCTCAGGGTGTTCATGATCCACTGGTCCTTTGGACTGTTTCTTTTTTATTCAAATATAAAATAATGTTTTATTTTATTTTATACTGGTATACTTACAAACTTTATATATGTTGTTTTCACACCAGATATTTCACATTTCCTACACACACCCTTCCCTCCATCCATCAAATTATGTGATCCT